CAGAAGAATCCTTGGTGAGGAACACATAAGATATTCTTGGCATCCATAAATAGTTTTCTTTGTTTCATTGATATATTCAATAAGTCTTTCTATTGTCTACAATTCAATGTGCTGGATCTCCTCGACAGGAAGTTCACCACAGTCAGCAATGACAATATCCACTTCAGGCTTATCACGACGATTGGTGTTGGTCTTTTCAATGGCTTCTACAACATCCATGCCTTCAACCACTTTGCCAAAGACAACGTGACGACCATCCAACCATGAAGTTTTAACAGTAGTAATAAAGAATTGAGAGCCATTGGTGTTCTTGCCAGCATTAGCCATCGAAAGCACACCCTATACAAAAAGGAAGGTTTAATCAAAAAGTCATTCATTCAATGCTGATGATACTTACAGGTCCAGTGTGCTGCAACTTGAAATTCTCATCTTCAAACTTGCCACCATAGATAGACTTGCCACCAGTACCATCACCATTGGTGAAATCACCACCTTGAATCATGAATTGCTTGATAACGCGATGGAATTTGGATCCCTTATAACCAAAACCCTTTTCACCAGTGGCCAAAGCTCTAAAGTTTTCTGCAGTCTTGGGAACAGTCTATGCATTGTATCCATGTTAGCTTGGCGTTGTTAAATAGAGCATAAATATGTTACCTTGCCATACAATCCAACAACGATACGACCAAGATCTTCGTCACCTTGCTTGATATCGAAATAAACTAGGCTAGTAATGTCAGCCATCAGAGTAACTTTACATGTGCGTACTAGGATAACATACCCTTATTGGTTACAAGAGGACCTTTCTTGGCTGAGACATATGAAACGGTAGAAAGGACAACGACAAGAGCGAGAAGAAGTGTGGTGATGCGGAAACGCGCCATGATGGAGAGATGAGTTGAAAGAGGCACCTAAACGTGGCAAGCTCCAAAGACACCCTGTGTGGATTGCAAATACAAATCCCGCGGTCAAATATCTCATACTCTATTGACTGCTTTTACAACATGCTGCATGAATCCTTTGTTCGATATCTCTCGACGTATTTTTTAAGATCAATATAATAACTAAAGGAATGCACAAGTAAATCCTTATCATGCGGTATGCAAAAGACAACAACCTGCATCTCTATACCTGCGTGGATGAACAAAGCATCTGCTACATAAAACAAATACGCTCATGTCCGGGCACAACATACATTAACGGAGACATTGTGCAAAAAGTGAATCTACGACCATTCCGGGGTAAAGGGGTTAAAGGAGCCTACAAACAAAAAGGGATGATGATGATGTAGCTGTCGTTTGTGTATTGACATTACAAATGGAACCAGAAAACTAATAATTGCATCATCAGTCGCCGAGAATACACGAGAGCATCACCTTGTCAATATGATAAACGCGTTCCATCACACCAACATGATGGATTGTAATTGAAATGTATATCATGTGTTGTATGTGGCGAAAAAAATTATCGAATGAGCTTGTTGGCGGGAGGTGGTTTAACTTTCCTGAGGATAATTTACAGAATAACGTGCTCCTATAGCTCTATTTACATTCTTCATTGTAAGAGGACGATGCTGGTGAGCTAAGGTGTGCTGCGTGTCCTGCATGCAAGTTCAATTGGAAGCTTCGGACATGACTTGCTCTAAATCCTATCCCCTCTTGTTTGGCCATCAAACGCGTATCCCCTTACAAGACCTGGTCTGCGAGTCATTAATAGCGCTCATGCCACGAAGCACAGATAGGAGTAAAAATGAAATAAAACAAGCATCAGTACCTTGTCACCATGGAAAAGCTCTCTTATCGTTCGTTACCTGTGCATGGCCACGGGTTGTGTTGTACAACCAGGCACATGCTTATATCATGGGATAATTAGGCACCAGTAGTACAAAGTTGGCTCGATCGTCAACCATAAACATTAAAGACCCTCGCTTTCTCGCACCATGAATTGTACTGTTGTTGTTGTTGTTACATATAAATTGGGCATTTCAAGTTGATAATGTCTCATATCATGACGATCACACGGAGTCAATGTAAAAAGGAGGAAGATCAAGAGAGTTTGACCCTGTATTTTCAGGAGGAGTAGATGGGAGAATCACCGCGTGCTAGTTGTTTTGGTGCTTTTGCAAAAAAGCAAAAAGTAACTACGTTTTTGGAAAGACAAAAAGATGATGCATATAAGATGTCAGGAGACCTTTTTTTCGTTTCTTTTGTTCTTTCTTTTTCTCCCACCCCGTTTCTGTGTTGCCTTTTGCCACCAACATCCTTTCTCCCTTATTGATATGAGTTTGACTCGAAAGTCTTGTCGTCGTGCCACCCTTGGTACCACTGATAACAAAAAGAACGTTGCCGTTGCTTCAAATTCTCGTCGATATTCCAGTTACATCCACAACGATATCAAAGATCCCAAAGAAACACCTATTGCAACGACTACTAGTGCACATCGTAAACGATCCAATACCACTCACCGCCGTTCTTCCGTTACAGCCCTGACAGCTTCAGCTCGTGCTAAGCTTGTCAACAAGTACAACACTCATGAGGAAAAGACAACAGCAGCTGACACTTGTGACATCAGTGGTGGCAATGGCACCCATCAACATAACAATAACACCAATCGACGATTATCTATCAACAAGCGATCGAGTACTCGACTTCCACGATGTATTACCAACAATCAACCTGAACCCAATTTAAATGAAAGTGCACAAAAACAAAAACAATCAACCATTGATATTGATCATTTGACTGCACTCTTGTTAAAAACCGAAACTCATCATAGTGAACAAGAGCAAGATGTGGATGATCGTATGTCTGAACGTGCACGGCGTCGACGTAGCATGCCACCATTGCAACAACAACAACAAGAAAATGGTGATGACAATTTTTGGAAAGAACTAGTAGATATTAAATCACGCTTGCAAAAGCTCGAGATCAATAAGCACCATGGAGTGGATGATAAGAGTTGCTCAAGTAGTACAACCACTGCAAGTTCAGTACATACCCCACCAGCGATGCCATCATCTCCTCGTGTCACGGTACACCAAAAACGCCTTCAAGATGCATTAGCTTTACTTGAGCAACAGCAACCAGGACCATTAGCTAAATCCATGTCGGTGGTGGTAGGGGAAACAATTGCTATGAACCAAAAACTATGGGCAGCGATTCCACATGATCTCAATACCGATGCTCGATCCTTGGTAGCAATGCAAAAAAGTAGCGATATCCAACTCAGAGAATTGACTGAATCTTTGTATCTCATGGCAACAACAACAGCTTCCAGCAATAACATGCCATCTCCGTTGGCTGAATCATCTTCACCACCCATCATGATGATGCCGTCAGCTTCTCAACAATATAGTCCCTCCTCTTTGCCAGTATCTCCACGTCGAGTAGCTCCACCCAGTCTCGACGAAAACTATTACTATCGACGATCTACCCTAAGTGCATACCAATACAAGCAACAACAACCACCATCAGCATTACCCGCTTTACACCATCAACACCGTGCATCCTTATCTATTGCAGCTTCTCGACCCCAAATGAAAGCTGCAGGTGTTTTGGATTATTCCCCCACCACTGATTACTTTTCAAGGCACAAGTACTACGATCCCAGATACGGCGGTAGCCATCTTATTCATGAAGCTTAAAAAATACCACGATCTTGCTTTTTTTGAATCTGATTCCATTTCTGTTGTTGTCTCAGCTGTAATTTAGTATCTCTTGTAGTTTTGCCTTCATTGCCAATCCCTTGTACACACACACGCACGCATATACACTCCCCTTTGCTATATCTTTTCCTTTGCAGAGTAGTACATATATACACACATGATCAAAAGCTTCTCGATAAAGTTTAATCAGGTTGCGTTCTATCTCGCTTCCTCGCCTAAATCTCATCGATTGCATGTTCGATTGCTTGTCACTATGTGATATCGCTTATGCTTTTTGCATGTGAGTCTAATGTGATCCATCGTCCATAATATATCAGTGATAGATCATTGTGAGGAGATTACATTGCTTGTGTAAGGAGAAAACTTTAATCCAGCATCTTTGCATCCTTCTAGCTCATGGTCATTTAATGATTTCTCATTGTTTTATTTTTGCTCTCGTTATCATTATTATAAATATTCATGGTTCTATTCATGTCCTTGAAATCATTGCAGCACAAAGAGACTGAATAACAATGAACACGCATGAAAGGATCGGAATCTGGAAACACGGCTGTTACACTTTCTCCCTTGTGTTCAGCAGTTCACCATTACTCAATTCGACGCAGTCCCTCCCTCTAATGTCGAACATGAAAGCATAAAAACATAAAGACTGCTCATGAGACGATTGCTTATTATCAGCACAAGAAGCTTTTCTTTCCAAATTCCAACGCGTCAACAAGACCAACTCATTTCGTTTCAGCACACAGCGTCATTATAGACGTGCCCGATATTATCGATACATGACGATAGTCAAGAAAGGAGTGGTGTGATGCTTATAACTAAAGATGTTCCTGTAATAACGCCTGAAAGCTGGTTGATCTCATGATAAATAACTGGATTCGTGCAGATAACAAGTGTGAGCGTGTTAATGGTAGCTTGATATATCCATCATTGACAGCTTGTGCATGTGCATTAGATCATCCTGCATGGTATCGTTCTTGGTGAAGATTTTCGTTTTATCGTATGGAGCAAATACGTTTTCCAGTATGTTGCAGGTGAGTGAAAGAACGATCTTATGGCAGCCAACATTGTTAACGGCGCGATCATATAGAATTTGTACCTACAAAATGTGAAGACGAATATATCATTAACGCAATAGTATATGCTATCAATAAACATCTGTGATATTTGACATGACACTCACGTTTCTTGGCTATCACATGGCTATTGTTGAAAGTTTCTTTGTTATATCTATCATGTGTGATTCAATCATTTCTACAAGTAAAACTACAATAAAATAGAGATACAGCGAGCTGAGCACGTGACCAAAATGAAAAACGAAAATAAAAAGCAAAAGTTCCGCGACGGGGAATCGAACCCCGATCGTCTGTGTGAAAGACAGAAATCATAGCCATTGGACCATCGCGGATGTTGTTGATAATTGAATTGCGACATACATAATGTATCAACCAACTTCCTAATTTAGAATTAGCCAATCAATGGTCGAGAATTTTCGGCCCGAGAAGGATTACTGTCTCTCCCTTGAGGTGACACAAAGAAGTTGTTGCTGGTGCAATGCACTTTTCACTTTTCTCCAAGTTAGCCCTTGCATACCCACTTGACATGAAATTATCGTATGATCGATAATGGCATTATCTTACATACACAACTGTTATTAGACATCTTCACATAGTCTTTGGAGATAAAATTAATATAATATTTGCCATGAATGATGCCATTCATGTTTTAAACTAGGTAGCAAGTGATACGAATGAATTGATATGATATGGATATACAGCTCTGATACTAGTGTATTAGCGTGTGCATGAAAGATATGACTATAATATACATCTAATGTCTAAGGGTTCTATTGCTGTTTACTTTTGTGCCATTTCTTCACACCCATAGCAACGGTTGTGCCAACAACGAGAAGTGCACCGGTAACACTGTATACATCAGGGTATTCGTGTAGGATGAGGATACCAAAGGCAAAGGCAAAGGCAACATCGTTCATGCGCATCAAAGTACCTACATTGAGATTGGAGAGTGAGAATGAGTATTGTAATTGACCCAAAAAAAAGAGAAAACTTACCTGGACCAGCAGGTGCAAGTTGAAGGCTTTATACGTGAATGACGAAAAAAAAAGAGCTGTTAGTACTCATCATGTGTTTGAAAGAGATAATGCATAATAAACGTACCCATTGTTCAGTAAGCATTGACCAATAAATGCAAGGACACCAGTCATCAACAACATACCGTATTCCTTCCATCCTTCAGGTGCAACGTATTCTTGGAATGCAAATAGCATAGGAATGGATGTGACTGTAGAGATAATACCAAAGTAAACCGTATGAACGAGGAAATGAGCACCTTTTCCAATCTTGCGTACAGTGACATAAGCGATGGCTGCCATCAATGCACCCACAAGGGCGGCTAATACAGCTAATGCACGTTGCAAAGAGTCGGTTTCCATGTCATCACCACCAAATAAGAATGTAGGCTTGGATACGAGAATGGCACCCGCCATGCACAGTGTTGCACATAAACCATCAAAGAAAGTAAATGCTTCACCAAGTATAATTGCAGCAAGGATAGCTGTGAATGTAGGACTGAGGAAAAAGACCACTATAGTGAAAGGGATTTAGTATAAGCTTTCTATATCGATACATGTATACTTTACCTGTGGCATCTGCTAATGGCAATTGTGTAATACTGTAAAAGAACAAGGCCAAGCCAGTGGATCCAACGAAACCTCGAATAAAGAGCCATTTGCGCACACCAGGCTTGCCAAGTGGATTGATACCAAGCATATAACACCCTATCAAGCCAAGGACAGCTTGAACAATCGATCGTGCAGCCACAATTTCAAAGGAAGCAAATGCTGCACCACTTAGTTTAACAAAGAGTGACATTGTCGAAAAGGCGAGAGCTGACAGTGTCATGAGAATCAAGCCAAACGCTTCCGACTTTGCATTCTGATTCCGTTGTTGCTGTTGTTGTTGCTCAGTTTGTAAAAGGGGTGTCGACTCGTTAATGACGATCTCTTGCTGCCTGTTGTTGCTCATTACAAATCAAGTTGGGAAGAAGACAAGACGACCGAAACAGGAACAAGACAAATTAGGCGTCAAATGTCACATTCAGGCACTATGTATTGCCGCCCATCATCTCTCATATCAATTATACCTAATGTCTATATTCTTCAATTACCCATGTGGGTGTACATGTGTCATTTTAAATGATGATGCTTTTTATAATGTCAATGATTGATTTCTACCACTTCATATCAGGGTTCTTTTTAAATGTCTCATATGTATCACGATTAAAGAAAGAAACTTCAGTCTCGTTTTCTAAACAATCAATGAATGAGTCAAAAGGATAATGAGCATACAAATAGAGCATTATAACTTACCAAGACCAAGCCATGCAAGAGTTGCTGAATCATCATTAAAGATCAGGGTAGCATCATCCTCCATGTTGATGATGAGATTTTGAGTCTAATCAAAAGTGAGATGGGTAGATAGAAAAGAGGAAATGCAATTGGTTGGATCTATGGTCTTTTGTTCTTCCCCCAAGGGACGTTTAGTACATGCCATACTTGGCTATCAACTTACCTTGTGTCCATGAGCAACTGTATACAATTTGATGGTATCTATAGAGCATAAATATACCTTCCATTCAGTATGCCATCTCCTAGTTTCCTTTATTTCCCTTACCAAATTCAACATTTTGGTATGGTTTCCAACCAGAAGTAGTCTTGATCTCTATTCATACATGTAAGCAGGGGTTATATGGGCGTGCGTATCTTGGATACAAAGTAACTTACTTTCCCGCACAAGCGATTTCAACTCCCCAACCGTGGTCGTCTCGAGATTCAAGTGTTGTAAAACTAAGCTTTTGCAAGTACGATATTCAAATGACTTGATGCAACGCACAGTAATGGTGGCATCAGTGGTGGGACGCGTATGACTGGTTAAGGTGTCCATGGGCAAGATCGTACAAGACAAACAGCGTTCTACTGAAAAAAAGAACCGACTTGGTCAAGTACTGCGATCGGGCTATTCTAGAAGATCCCAGCCTCTTTTTTTTTTTCGCCCTCAGTCAATTGTCAGCATGAATTTTAAGGCACCAATGCATTGTATATGTTAAAGAACAATGGTCATCATTAAACATGGTATAATAAAGTGTCTCTTTCAAGTATAATTACACTCTGCTCGTGATTGTTGACAATGTGGTAGTGTTTCTCATAAAGGCAGTTGTTTCTAATGACAATATTTGATTACATCAACCCACTATTAGACAATGCAATTATAATGTTCTTGAATGTTGTTGTATGATCATTTATTGAGGAATGAGCACAAGATCATACATTTCCGCAATATGTAGATGGCTTCAATAACGTTGTGAGAGTATACAAATTTCGCTAGTGATAATGTTCAAAGCTGCCAGTGTGAGTAATCTGAATCGGCATAAAAAGGTTGTGGAGATATTGGTTGTTGTATCATGGTGTCTGTGGTTGGTGAAGTCTGATGACTTGAAGGAATCTTTTCAGTTATAAAGTATGGGCTCCCTAGAGGACTTGCTTGATAACGGAATATAACACAGTGCGATAAGTAACATGTTCCGAGCTTTACATGGTTGTAACCTACCATTGAAGACATAATAGCCTTGGTATTCATCGTTTTCTTGTTGCTGATGAAAGAGATTGCCGTGAGTGGGTGAAAGTGATGATGCTGATGGGGTATCAGTCTCAGGTAACAGTGGTGTATCTATCCAGTAATAGCAATCTTAGCTTATCTCCTCATCGTTGTAACCGGGTGAAGATGCTTACAGAATGCCGTATTGTGTGCATCATAACTGTGTTGTGGATTTACTGATGTTGCCGTTCCTGTGACTGATTGTATGGCTGAGAATGTTGGAAATGTCAAATAGGTGGGTCGAAACTATATATCCAAGCAGGTCAAATCACTGTTACCGTACTAGTCATGGCTTATACATTACCTGAGGATCCGTGGTGTAATGAATAGGGCTATGCTCATAGGTGGATGTTGAATTTGTGGATGGAGTAGAATGCTTTGGAAATATGTGAGTGTGAGCACAACCGATACATGCATCCTCACATAATAGCTTGTTGGCTCACATATGGATATTGGTATTGATTATAGTTATAGGGAAGATATGGTGTGGATTGTTGCTGATAGGTATAGTCATCCTCCAAGGTAACAGCCATGAATTGCATGTTGTATTGTGCTGTACCAAATGGCCAAATAGGACCTACAACCGGTCATCATTTATTATCCGTGATGACATGATTCACCAGTAGAGCTACACTTACCAATGTTATGAGGTGGTGTCCCAACCTTAGTCTTGGAAAAAGGATGCTTGAATACTTCATTTAGAGTAAGATGCTTCAACTCTGATCGATGGCCTTTGGAGGGGAGCAATGGAGATGCGGCACTAGCACGTTTTCTTGCCTTTTAATCATTTTAATTAGTAATACATCAACAAGAGAATACATGTCACATGTATCTTACCGCAAGGAATTCTTGTACTTCAGGATTCGGCTTGAATTCAGAAGCATGGACGTTGAATTTGAAAGTATGTTTGTTCCTGACGGTAGTAGTGGTTGTGGTTATCCGTGATTTGTATAGTTGCTCAAAGGCCTTGTCATCAATCACGCCAGTTGAATGTCTTGTTTTTGACAAGAGCGGTTCGATATCAGCAGGGATTGGCATATTGAGTTTGAAAGTCTGATGAAATCTGACGAGCTCTGCAAGATGTTGCTCCTTGTTCTCCATTTTCTGAGCATACTTTTCGACGTAAAGTTTTCCTTTCAATATACGAGAATGGCGACAGAATGACTTGGACACTGATCGATGCACCTGAATATCCAACATTTAGATCACGTACTGATTTTGTTGTTCCTGTCGTATCCAATACCTTACCTTTTTCTTCTTCTTTTGACAAGTACAAGTATCGTCAATCATATAAGGTGGTGCAGCAAAGTGTGGGATTGTTGATTCATCCATACATGTAGAGTAATAGATGACATCTCGCTCTGTAACCGGGAACACCTCCACCTTGTGATCGATGAAATAATCAGCAGGTGTACGACGAATCTCCGAGCTATGCCAATTCTCCTCATCCATGAGCTCTTCGTCCAGTAGTTGATTACTTTCTTCCAATACATGTATATCCATTGCTGCCGCCTAGAAGAAGGCATATAAGATGATTGATGAATGAATAATTGCATTATGACTTACCTGTTGGATTTCATTTTCATATCTTTCAAGTTCTTCGTAATCGTATACAGTGCGATCCAAGAATGGTGGTGTGTGAGTTCCTTCATTAAAAGACATCTCCATCCCAAGAATTTGGTCATTGATTGCAAATGGCTCGCATAGATTGCTGCTGAAGGCGATATGATCATCC